GTGGACCTGACTTCCCTCCCCGGTCCCCCAGGCCAGGATCTGACCTGCCCCTTCCCTTTATAGTTATGACAGGGGCGCAGGCAGGGAAGGGGCAGGTCAGATCCTGGCCTGGGGGACCGGGGAGGGAAGTCAGGTCCAGGGTGGTACCACCTTTATCAGCCCGGCAGGGCTGCTTTCACACTCACCGGCCACACACCCGCAGCAGGAGCGTCTCATCCAGCACCGTCATCATGGGGGGCAGCTCCAGGGTCACTTTGAACTTGGGCAGCACTGGGGGGCAGAGAGGGACAGGGTGAAACCGACCCGCAGCCCCGGCTCGGGGGTTTCATCGCCATCCTCCGCCTTGGAGCTTCTCCCCGGGTCTTGCAGCCCCCCACCAACCTGCCGGCTGGGCGGGAAGGGGAAGGGCCCGGAAATGGAGCAGGGCTGAGAAGAGGCTGCAGATTGCAGCAGTAGGGTTGCCAGGTGTCCGGTTTTCGACTGGAACGCCGGGTCGAAAAGGGACCCTGGTGGCTCCAGTTCACACCACAGACAGGGCTGTTAAAAGTCCGGTCGGCGGGGCAGCGGGGCTAAGGCAGGCTCCCTGTGTGCTGTGGCTCTACACCACTCCCAGAAGGTGCACAGGTGGTACTGGGGGGCACAGGTCAGATATGGGTGGGTGCTGGGCTGGGGCTGGACAGAGGTGGGGCTGGAGGGCACAGGGCAGATGTGGGTGGGTGCTGGGCTGGGGCTGGGCAGAGGTGGGGCTGGAGGGCACAGGGCAGATGTGGGTGGGTGCTGGGCTCGGGCTGGGCAGAGATGGGTCTGGGGGGCACAGGGCCGATGTGGGTGGGGGCTGAGGTGGGGCTGGGGGGATAGAGTTAGATGCTGGCGGGTTGGTGAGAAGCTGGAAGCTCCGTCTCATCTGGCAGCCAGTGAGCTCCAGCAGCAGGAGCCGGGATCAGCTCCTGCGATAACTTTAGTGACACAGTAACTGCCCCCATCCACCTCCCACAGACACAGGGCGGAGGCGGGCGGGGGGGCTGCAGAAATCCAAAGTCAGACCAAAAACATGAGACAGCCATGGTTCTGACTCATGATGTTGGACGCACAGGCATCGCGCCCCAAGGAGACTCAGGAATCCCCCTCCTGCCTGACGTGCCGGAGCCGCGGCCTCAGTCGCTGACCTGGGTTCCGCTGTGCACCATATTCCTCCACGCTGAACGAGTGCCTCGTCCCCTGCGCCTCGATGGCGTACGTCCCCAGGGCCGGCTCTGCAGACAGCGGGAGGGACAGATCCATGATGCCCTGCTGCGGAGTCACATCTCGCCACTGGGCGATGCGGTTCCCGCTGGGATCCTGGCACATGGACACGCCCTGCTCAGCCACTGCCCGCACACACGGCTCGTCCCCAGCAGCCCCCAAGTCCCTTGTGCTGCCGACGGGGGCTGGATCGACGGCCGGGGGCTCAAATCTTTCTCCTTAGCCTGGAGCAGGCACCGCCGGGCAGCCGCTGGGTAAGGGGGCCCCTGCCAGCGCCCCTCAGCCCTGACGTGAGGGCACCACCCCGGGGGGAACAGGCTCCCGAGGGACACCCCATCTCCAGCCTGGACAAAGCCCAGAGAACACGCCATAGGGACCGTTTCCATCTCAGTGCTAGGCCTCTGTGGGTATGTTTCCTGTCCTCCTCCCCCCATGCAGCCTCCCTAAACCTCCATCCCTCCCCTCTGCCCCTGCAGCTCCCAGAGACCCCCGGCCCTTCCCCCATCAGGCTCCCAAGGGAGCTTCCCGCTGAGTTCCCCACTGGCCTGATCAAGTCACTGCCTGACCCAGAGTTTGGGGGCTGGGAACATTCGGGGTGAGTGACTCAGGCAGGGATCCCAGCCAGGCCCAAACCCACCTGCCTCCCGGACAGACAGCCCCAGATGCTGCAAACTCAGGGTGGGGAGGACGTAACCCGATGGCACAAATGTCCCCTCGCTGCCCCCATGGGGCCCAGCCCAGAAACGCCCTGTGCTCTGGGACCCTTTGCACCCCCACAGCAGGGCAGAGGGGTCTAGGGCTGGATTGCTGGACACTGTGGTCACAGCCCAGACTCCTCTGGGATCCCCACGACTGAACACCCCCGGGGGCCCTCGGATGAGCCAGACAGGAAGAGGAGGAGGCTGGAGAGGCACAGACTGACCTGCACGGTCACCAGGGGCAGCTGCAAAGCAAACAGACAGGAGATGGCTGGTTAGAGGGACAGGAAACACCCCCCACTACCCACAGATCTGCCTGTGGCTTCCCGAGGGCTGGGGTGTCTCTGGGGCCATGGGGGATCATGCGGATGGGGGTGACCGAGAGAGCAGTGACAGGAAGGGGAGCCCATGAGGCTGGAGCCCTCGCCCCTCCCATGCCCCCCTCCCTGCGTTGGCGGAAACGGGGCAGTGGGTGGCTGGTCTGTGCGTGGAGGAGCAGGGCGAGATGCTGGGGTCTCTGCCAACGGGCAGTCTAAGGGCCGGGGGGGTCTGCATTGCAGCCAGTGCCCGGGTGAGGTGGCTGGGAGGGGAGCTGTCAATCTGTATTTAAACACTGGGCCTGATTCTGCCACCTCACTCAGAGCGCACAGCACGGTTAGGCTGAAAGGTGCTAATGACTGTCATCCCGGGGGGGGGCTGGCATCCACAGCCAATCACAGACTGCACTAATGCCAGTGGGTGCCCAGCACCCTCATTCCGGCTCCATGCAATGTGCAATCAACACTCTGCGCAGTAAAGAGACTGCAAACAACAGAGGCCACTGCCCAAGGCACTAGGCTCTGTGGCCCAGGGGGCTGCTCCACAGGGCTGTTTTCAGCAGGCCAGCACAAGCCCTGCTACTGCAAGGCTGTTAACCTGCCCTGGGAGACTGACCCCCTGCAGTGAAGACCAGGGTGGCGGCTGAGGCATTCCCAGAATACCGGAGATCCCGGGATTTCCAGGATTGGTGTGGGCCTGTCCCCTCTGGTGTGACCTCGTACACTCGGTGTGTGTGAGTTCACGCCAGCAGGGGCGGAGCAGTGCGCACTTCCAAATGGCACCCCCCACCCAATACCAGACACAAGCATGTACTGGACGGGGGCAAACCACCCATGAAGAGGAATGTCTCATTTCAAACCGGATGAATGGCCTGCCTGGTGTAGACAAACCTAACATGTCTAGTGCTCCAGGGCCCTGTTACCCTGCCCCCAACCCCCACCTCCAGCTCTCACCTTCCGGGTACTGGGAATGAAGTCTTTGTCCAAACTGAGGATTCGAAACTTCACTGGAAAGGAGCAGAGGCAGAGGCGGGAATCAACCCCAGCTTGGTTTGTCTGAGTGAATTCCCAGCTGGGGAAGGTGCCAGCCAGACGCCCCGGGCACTGACGGCCTCTGTGAACCCGCAGAATGGGCCCAGCCCGGGCAGTGCAGCGCCAGCTTCCCCATGCTGCCCTCTGCCAATGAGCCACGGCTCTGCCCTGCATGGCTGGAGGCTGCCAGGGGAGGCCGATCGGTGCCCCCTGCAGTGTCTGTGACATCACCAAGGACGGGCTGAGACCCCAACTTGGTTCCAGACAGGCCACCAAACAGGCATCAGGCTTTGGGCCTCTTCTCCCCTGGGGCCAGGTGCAGATAGGGTCCTAGAAATGAGTGTCCCGAATCCCCCGCTAGGCCCCAAGCCCGACCCCAGAGCCCGGGAGTCCGTCCCAAGGGCCTGAGGCCCCAGGAAACTCGCTCCAACAGCTCCTGCCCTCTCACCTGTCTGTCCTGGCTTGTAGACGGCCTTGTCTGTCTGCACAAAGGTCCCGGGCTGCAGCGCCTGCACCAGCACTTTCTTCCGCTCAGAGAACTGCAGGGCATCTCCCCGGATCGAGACGTGCAGCTTTGCCACTTCCTGCTGCCCCTCGGACGGGGCTGGAACCTGCACACGGGGACCCCCAGCAAGGCCACAGCGGCCAGTAACGGGCCGGTCGTGGCGCAGACCCACTATCGTATGGGGTGGGGGGACAGTAGTGTTTGTGAGACCTTGTTTCCGCCTCCTCCAATCACAGGAACCCTCTCCCCAGCCTGGGGGACCAGGAATGGGAGGGAGCATGAACATGGGGCGCTCGATGGAGTTGGAAGCCAGGGCGCTCTCTGTACCCCCCACCCCATCCCCGCTCCCCCCGTCTCTCGCTGCTGCGGGATGGGCTTGAGTTCTGTGGCTACAGCTGCCCATTGAGTGACCAGCCCCGTGCCCATGGCCAGTCCCTGAGACCTGCTGTGCCCGGGGCCTGAGGCTGGGCTGGGGCTGCAGACCCGGGGCTGATGGGCTCCGTGCCCATGGCCAGTGCCCAGGGCCGTGTCGATGGCTGCGGGTGGGGGCTCACCTGGAAGCGCACGTTCTCGTGCAGACGGGATTCCTGGACCTCTCTCTCCAGCAGGGTGATAGCGCTGGGCCCATCCCCCCTCTCCAGCCGGACGCTCACCCGGACGGTCTCATTGAGGTCGCTGAGATGAACTGACACCGTCCCCGTGTGCGGGTGGTAGAGCACAGCTGGGCTCACCACCACATAGTGCCTGAGGAGGGGAAAGCACCGGGGGCAGTGGGGGAGGGGGATGGGAGGGGACAGCCCAGAGCCTCCCCCAGGACCGGGGGTGACTCCCGATTTCTGAGTGTCCCTCCTTCTGGGGCCAAAGCTGGGTCGACGGTGCTGGAGACTGATTCGTTTCACAAGGCTCCCCTGCTCCTTCCCCCACCCCAGCCTGCCTCTCGCGCACCTGGAGGGGCCTTGGGGGTGCAGAGAGGGGCTCAGTCCCCATCCATCCCCGGCCTCTCGGCTGCTCGGTCTGCCCAGAAGGGGGCAGCTAGTGGAGCTGAGAGTGAGCAGAGACCCCTGTGCACGGCGGGGGGTGGCTGGGGCTGTACTGAGCACCTGAGCCCTTTGCAGCCAGTAACTGGCTTAGATACAACCCCACCCCACCCCCAGCTCAGTCTGCACCCCGGGGCCTCCGCACATTCTCACAGGAACCCTTCGGCGTTTGCACCTTCGGGCACTCCCCGGTTCTGGCTGAGACGTTCATTTAACGCACTGGGTTCGTCGGTAATTACTGTTCTATTTCACTGGTGCTTAGAGGCCCGGCCCAGCCTGGTCCCTCTGCACTGGGGCTGGACAGACCCGCAGGCAGAGACAGGCCGTGGCCTGAGGAGGTGACAGGCTGATGGGAGCTGGCGGTCGCAGAGGATCATCACCCCATGGTACAGAGGGGAGCTGAGGCTCAGAGGGTCGGTGTCTGGCCGGGGCGCACAGGGCGTCTGTGGCAGAGCTGGGCACTGAACCCAGCTCTCCACACCCCAAGCCACTGCCTTAATCACAGCCACCCTCCCCTGGCACTTGGAGGGGCAGGACCAGGGGGGCCCAGGAGGGACCCAGCATCAGGGACTGAGCTCCCAGGGGAGAATGGGATCCCTCAGTTTCCGATCAAGCAGCCCCCTGATCGGTGCCCTCGGCTGCTTCCAACTCCCCCCCCCCACGCCACCGCCCACCACGT